CCCGTTTTTCCCTGCTGGCACCGTAGGCTGCAAGGTGTAAGTAATGTTTTTACAGATTTTTGCATGTTCCACAGCGGCACGTGAGAATCACTTCACATTGCAGTTAGCAAAGAGGAGGAAATGAAACCCACTCCTGAATTGGAGACGGGAGTGTTGTGTTTCACCCTCTTTGACAGCCAAAAGCCAATTTAGGACTCTCTACAAAGCCAAATTTGCCAGGGCGGTGGTGGGGGGACTGTGGCTATCTTCTTAATTCTCCTGAGCTCACTTAAGGCCTGAAATCAGTGTTGGCTGAGGGAGGAAAAATTGATGTGGATGATGGTTTATGGATCATTTCAGCTGGAGGAGGGAGGGACTGAGAGAGTCCATCCAGCTTGCACTTTTCGGGCAAGACTCCTAAATGCTAGCACGGTAATAATCATAAACACGTATTCAGGGCTCACCATGAATGCAGCAGGGCCCTAATCCCTGTGCATGAATGAGCCCATTTAACCATCTTAACCACCTTATAAGACCCATCAAGGGTAAGCAACTGGTCCAACATAGTAATACAGCTGCCAAGTTCACAGCTGGATTTAAAACCAGGCAGCCTGGCTCCATAACCTCACTGTTAGTCAGTGCTCACCCTTTTCAGAAAGACATAGACAGAGGCCATCCTTAGGGATGGAGATCTACGTCTTGCCTCCTCTTGCTCCTCTTCTTCTTTTCCCAGGTCTTTGTATAAGGGACAATGCTTCAGTTAAAAGTGAAGGATCCATTAGCCAAAACCACCAAGGTGCACCATAATGGAAGTCAGCTCAGTTATCCCCCACAACTCAGGCAGCTCCTTGGTACCCTCAGCCCTGCTGTTACAGCATAGGATTTTTCCCAGCCCATGGTTATTCTCTCTCCCTGGGCCAGCAGTTCAACAGAACATTCAAGAAACAAAATGACTCTTTGCTAAAACTGCTTTCCCACCCTGGGTGCTCTCCTCTGAGGTGATGAAATCCCAATCAGGGAGTCATCACCATAAATAATGCATCGGGCTTTCACCCAGAATCAGAAAAGCAAGCAACAGCTAAGAAGGGTCCATTATCCCCCCCCCATGGTTCACAAGCGGGTATTGTGATTAATCCATTTATCTGCTATTCAGATGAACACCCCATAGGAAGAGTCAGTAATTGCTGAATATTGAATAGGTACATGAATAATCAAAATGTACCCAGGCTCTGAGTGGCAGCAACACCTCAATTCCCAGAATCTTTCTTCATTTTGAGTTTTAAAGATCCACAATAACTTAAGTACAGCACAGAGGTGGGAGATAGGAGCCCCAATTCTCCAGAAAGTCAGAAGTTTCAAAGAACTTGTTCATAATCACATGAATCAATTCAATCAATACTTATTATTTACTTGCCTCAGTCACGGTGCTAAGAACAGGGTACAAACAAAAAATCATGTTATTTAACTGGAGAAATAGATATATAAAAGGCCAATTATCCTGCAATAGGAAAAGTGAGAGGTAGGTGTTAGGAACACAGAAGGAAGAAAGCTTACTCTCCCTGGGGGGAGAGGCTAAGTGGCAGATCTGGGAAGGCTGTGTAAAGGAGTTGGCATTGGAGTTGGGTCTCATAGGTTGAGGAAGATTTTCTCCAGAGAGAAGGGGGAAAGAACAGCACAGGTAGAGGGACAATTGTCCACAAAAGCATTCAGGTATAAAGTCAGTGATCTTTTCCAAGGGTCGCATGGGACAGGTATTAAAGGGCCTTGTCCAGTATGTTAAGGAAATTGGCTTTCAGCTAGTTCAAAACTGTTAAAGGAGTAGCAGAGGCCATCCAGGGCCAGCTGTGCCCACCAAGCCTGTGCCCTAGAAGCTCCCAAGCCCTAGCTCATCACTTCACTAAGCCCAGGGGACTGTGGTCACAACATGCACAGCTTCATTCCTGGCTTTCTCCCTCCTGGAATCCTTCCCTGTCTTTACCTTGTGAAAGAACTCCTCCCATCCTCCTTGCCTCCCCCCTCAGCACATCTCTTCCTTCCAAAACGTTCCTCTCCTCCCACTCCTCATCCACTCCCATTCACACATGGCATCTTGCTAGAAATAGCAAGGGTAAGGCTAAGAGCAATGAATCAGAAGAGGGGGCAATCTGTGTTCCAAGGCTGATTTACCCCACCCAGTGCCTGACCTCAGCCTCAATGTCCTCAAATAAAATTTGGATAAGAAATGCATACGACCCTTGGCTTCGCAGGCAGGGTTATTTGAGGGTGAAATAAGATAAAGCCTTGAAAATAACATTAACAAAAAGCAGAAAGGGATGCTATTATGTCATCCAGCATAATTGTCTACCAGACTGTGAGTTCCTTGAGGGTAGGGACCAGGTGGTTTGGAACTTGGGTGTCCAGTTATTCCTGGTACAGTGCGAGTGCTTGATACGCCTTGAATTAAGACCAAGGACCATTACCGCCACCACCCCGCCCCCCCACACACACACACACGATACACAGAGACTTTTCTTGCAGGTCCGCATACATACACGCAAACCGACAGTACCCCACTTTGGGAAGTACTGCTCTCCTTCTGGCTTATTCCAAAAACAGCTAGTTCCTGGAGGAGAACCAAGTGATAGTCACGCTGCTTGGATGCCTCGCTGGGCACGTTTGACCAAGTCTAGGTTCCACCCCTTCTCCAAGGAAGTTGCTAAGAGCTGAACCTCCTCCTCCCCTACTCACTCCCCTCCTAGGAGCCCCAGCTGAGGCTGTTCCTGCCCCCGCCGCCTCTGTGCCCCGTGAGCGGCGTGGATTTTTTTTTTTTTTCCTCGCAAGAGCTCGGCCGCCTCTACTGCTGTTTTCATTGATGCCTTGAGCAGAGCTGGCATGTGCGACTGCTGAGAAGGGGGAGCGCCGAGCGGCGGGGGAAGCAAGTAAAAATAGCCTGGCGCGCGTCGCTCTGCCTGCTCCGGACGCCTTTAACCCTAGCCGAGTAGGGAGCGCTGCAGCCGCCACTGCATACTGCGGAACCCGCAAGGGTCTGCATCCAGACCCCGCGCAACGGCGGGTTACAGGGGATAGGGACCCGCGAAAACTTTGTTTTCTTTTTCTTTTCTATTTTTTTAGAAAACAAGCAAGGAATGGGGTGGGATGAGGAGGCAGAGAGAAGCGCCTTTTCGCTTCCAGCGCTCCAGCCACCTGGCTGCAGGGACTGCTACGTGCCGGCTGGCCCAACATGTTGCAGAAGCGAGGCCCTGAGACTGAGCTATTTTTAGAAACCTTTTCCGCCGGTGGGCGATCTCAGGGCGTAGGGGGAGGGGAATGATACAGCTGGGTCCACTGTGAGGCTAGGCGCCTTGCCCTACACAGGGTTCTGAATGTCTGCTCTCAGGTGGGAGGGTGGGGAGGAGGAGGCGGCGAGGGGACCGCACGCCTGCTAGCTTTGCCCGAACTCAAGGAGACGGCGTTAGCTACTAAATGCCCTGCTGTTTTGAAGCCCCAGAGCGTGTTTGTTTCGAAATCGACAGTTGCCAGATGCATGCTGCTTCAGGTCTCTCTGGGAATGGGGATTTTTAAAGCTTTGCTGCCTACGCTGTGGGCTAGGGGTTAGCGACAGAGTTCTGACCTCCAGGAAAGAAGATCGGAAAGGGTCTCTCTGCACCTTTTTGCATTCCGGCAAGACAGAGGGACAATCCCCGCGCCACACCCCCCTCGCCGCCCCACGCTGCATATGGTTAACCATATGTGAAATGTACGGCAGCCCCACCAGACACCCGGCTATTAATAGAGCCCGGGAGTTTGCTCTCTGTGTCTTTTTCCTGCCACCGAGTAAGGGATGATCACACATACCCCACTCCGCCCCCACCTCGGCGCACCATTTCTTCGGGAAGGTAAGGGGGCTACCCACGCCGAACCCCTTCGTGACTACAGGTGCCCAGAGCCTACGGAATAGTCCAGTTGTTGTAATGACAACGGGGTCAGAGCGAGGCGAAGGAACACAGCCTCGAGTGTTGGGACGCAAAGCCCGGCGGGATCTCTGCGGCTCGGGGCCAACTCGAGAGTAGAAAGGGCAGCTATTGGATTGCCTCCGGCGGGGGGGGCAAGAGTATTATTTGCGGAGCTAAAGCGACCTCCTCAACAGCTGCTGCGGGACAAGTGGCTGCAGACCCGTTTCTCGCCGCAGCTGTCGGCTCGCAGCCCCCACCGCCCGCGCAGGCTCGGCTGCGGCAGGAGCGGGCGCTGTCCCTGGTTCTGAAGGTGGCCTCGGCCAGTGCGCCCTCCCCGGACTGAGCGCCCCAGAGGCTGCTCTAACATCGAAGGATTGCAGACTTCTCCCGGGCCCGAATCTGGGCCCGAGGATCTGTGGAAGGTGCCTAAGTACTACCACTGGCTTGCCCCCACCTCCGCGGCCGGGAGCTCTCCGTGATTATTGCGGGGAACTAGAGCTCGGGGACCGACTCGGGCTTGAAGGGTAAAGCAGAAGAATGGGTAGGAGATAGTCAAGGAGCTGCAGGGAACAGACCTGGCCCCAGGATCACCCACCCTGGCTCTGCATAAAGCCTGGACGGGAACCCCTAACGGGGCCCAGAGCAGAGGGCAGGGGAGCGCGACTGCCCAGGGTTTGGGACTTGGGGGAAGGGGAAGGGAGCAGCGGGTGGCAGGAGAGGGTGATGGGGTGAAAGCGACTCTTTTGCATTTTCTAGAGGGAGGGGACCTGAGACGACATGCACTGTCTCCCCCCCCCCC